CTCAATAAGTGCTTTAACAGCAGCGGTTAGCGTCGGCGTAGGTAATGCGATATCAGAGCCACCCACTCGCAAAGCAGTGGCAGTGCTGTGGGTATAAAGGGAGGTGGTGCAGACGATGCGTACCACGTCAACACGCATTCGTGGTGCCAGCGCCAACAGCCTACAGCATGCCATTACACTCAAGTCTGGTGCATCTGTTTCTCGTCCTCCTTACCTTCGCTGCATGCCGCGTCTGCGCTGCTGTTGTGTCAGACGGCGATGTGGCAGAGAAATTGGAAGCGGAGGTGTCCGAATTGCTTTCCCTCTTGGAGGAGGACGAGGCAGAGGAGAATGGAGGTGAGTTGGTTGTGGAAGATGTGAATGAAGGTGGTAGTGGGAGAAGGGAGGTGCTGGTGCCGGCTGGGTGGCGTCGCTTCCGACGTAGGATCAGCGGTGCTTTCCGACGCATTGGTGGGGGCATTCGAAGGGGCCTCAGGAGAGGATGGAGAGGTCCTGTGAGTCCACACCCATACCCAGGTGCCAGATTCCCCTACTATGCGCGCTAACACTGACGCACCCATGCAGCATGCAGATGGGTGCTGCTAATCATGTACAGGATTGAGGAAGTGCGATGTTGACACAGATGAAGGAATAAATGTATGCACATTAATGAGTTGGTGCACTTGAGAGTTGAGGTGAGGTGAGGTGAGGTGAGGGGAGGGGAGGGGACGGCATGTCGTTATGACTACGAGGGTGTGTTCGTGGGTGTCAGATGTGTTGGGACACTGTCGACAAGCTAAGCCCACGGAAGGGCAACTCGCCTTCATCGTCGGAGAGACTGTATAAGGGGGAGTATACGCTCGTGGTGTCAAGTAGGAGGTGAGCATGGGTGTGGAGGTGTGTGTGCCATATTTTAAGCTCCTGCTGGAAGGAGTGTATTTCATGGGATTGGATGCTGCTAGTGTCACTATAAGGGACGATGATGACAAGTTGTATACCTCTCCATTGTTGATGGTGCTGTGGTTTCAGGGAGGGTGTGGAGGGTAGACAACTTTGATGCTATGCAGGTGCACGAGGCGTCTCCAAAGTGGAGGCGGAGCATAAGCGTAATTGGCGAACGCCGTCATGGTTGCAATGGGGTGACTGATTGTCACGTGAGTGATGGCATTGGGTTGCGGAGTGACGGATTTCACTGGGCAGTGTTGTTGTGCTAAGTGTAGTGCCATGCTAGTAGGTGTGTAGGAGGGAGTGCCATGCTGTCCAGAAGTCGGTTTCGGTTTGAAAGGCGGAACAATTATTACCCTACATAAAGGCAAGCAGGTTGAATGAGGTTGAGTGCGAGGGCGTAATATGTGGTCGATGGAACCGAATGAGTGTGAGGGGAAGGCACATCTGAGAGAGTGGGAGGAGATTGCTGACAATGGTGTTGGACGCAAATCGTAGGTTGCTTGTCCTCCACAAAGGACGTCCCCACTGCGCTCCTCTCGTCCATCCATTTAACTGGCGAACCGGCAGTTGTCAGATCGACGGACCGATTGCATGTGGTTGTACTTCGTGTACTTTGGGGCATATCCACATCCGCACGCAATGTCTTCTCAGCATCCTCCATTCCGCCTACATATGTGACCACATGTGAGACGTGAAGGTTGTTGTAGCGTTGTCACAGAGTGCAAAGTGGGCAACATCTACGTAATTGTGGCCAAGTATGCGGTCGAGGAACTGGTGTCCTAAGAGGAAGGTACATTTCACGTTCCAAATCGTTTGGACGAAAAGTCGTTCTTGTCTCGTGTCCACCTGTGTGAAGTTGGTCCTTTGTTGTTGCTCGACATGTCGCGTCCGTTAGGCTCTCGCCTCGCGCCCGCTCATCAATGCAGACGTGTCCCGTTATGGAGGTAGGACTCCTCCCTCCACGCCATCGAATTCCCGGTTCGTGCGTTTGTGGCGCGAACAATATCGTGTGCTAATATGATGCAGTTGTCATGGAACATGCGCCTTCCTAGTTAAAACGATAATTTATCCGCCCACCATGCACCATCACCAAGTCCTAGTTAAACATTGTCGACATGTGTTTACAGCCTGATTGTGAGGGAGGAGCGAATGCTCGTTTGCATCCATACACTGGCCTCTCTTAAAGGGAGGGGGCGGGTGGAGACAGAGGAACGTGTGGGCAAGGTGCTACAGCACCCGCTTTGCCCTTTGGAAGCGGTCACTGCAGTAAGTGGTGGTGGTGGTGGTGGTGTTGTTGCGGAGTGGTCAATGCGCTGACACAGGAGAGCGGCTCGCTGTCAGTGGCTGGGTACGTGGTTGGCACCTCGCGAATGCAGCAGCAGCAGCAGTATGGGGAACCGTGCATAGTCACGATGTTGGCGGCCTCGTGAGTAGCAGTCGTTGGAGGGAACTGTGCTGCCAGTCAAGACTACTTCCCCTTGAAGTGCTACCGTGCCAGGAAAACGGAATGACACGAAGATATGCAGGTGCGCTAAGCGGTGTGCAATCGTTGCGAGCTTCGTGCGTAAAAGCGAGCTTCACGGCATTAACTCAGGCGAAGCGAGCAAATGTTGGACAGGACTACGACTACTACCAGTGAGAAGGGGGGAGAACGAAGACGTGGGATGCAAGAAAGTTCGTTAATGAAGGTGGCGAAGGACCAGGCAATAATAATGGCTAATGTGCAGTTGACGTCACCTGCATGTCATCTGCTGCCTTAGGAATGAGAACCTCCACGATGTTTGGTTGGTGT